TTAAAGGTCGTATAAATAGGATCAGTTATTAATTCAGTAAGTATTTGTAATTTAAATTTTCGATTGTGGTAAGATAAGAGTATACATAAAATTTAGGGTTTTTTTTTGAGGGGGCATGGTGAGACAGGGTCTCACTGTGCACTTCAGGCTGGCCTTGAACTTGTGGCAGTCCTGCCTCAGCCTCCCAAGTGCTGGGATTCCCTGTGTGTGCCCCCATGCCTGGCAAAATTTACAGTCTTACCCATTTTTCTTTTCTTTTTTTTTGGAAGAACCGGGGATTGAACTCAGGCCCTTGTGTTTGCCAGGGAAGCGTTTATTCCACTGAGCCATCTCCCCGGCCCATCTTACCTATTTTTAAGGATATCATTCTGTAACATTAAGCGCACTGGTGCTGTTGTGCAAACAATCTCCAGAAGTCTTTCTGTCTTAGAATACTGTGACTCTTTATCCATTACATGGAAGTCCCTACTTGTTCCACCACTGCTTCTGGCAGCCACCATTCTACCTTCTCTTTTATGAATTTTGCTATTCTAGGTACCTTGTATGAGGGGAATGGCTTTGTGACTGCCTTATTTCTTTTAGCTCATGTCCTCAAAATTCATCCTTGTTTTAGCCAGGGTGAGAATTTCCTTTTTAAGATTGAATTAAATTCCACTATATGTGTGACCCGGTTTATCTGTTTATCCATTTGCATCAGTGGGCGCCGGACCACTCCACAAGAACTGTGTGAACACTTCTTGTACGTATGCCAGTGCCCTCCCATGCGACAGGCATGTGCTGACTGCCTTTGTGACAGGTCCTAACTTGGGCACGAGGATGACTGCAGCAGTGGACACACCGGACCAAGCTGTGGCTCTCAGGAGGCTTCTGTTCCCGTGAAACAGAAGGTGGCCGAGATGGGCAATAAGCAGAGACATTTGCTTCTAAAATGCATGGTTGTTTTTTTTTTTTTTCACATTTTATGTTTTTGAAATTAAGATGTGCCTTAATAATTGATGACATCTCAGAATTATATCTGGTAATGTTTCTTTTTAGTGTCACCAAAAATAATGGTGCATTTATAGTCCTCTTGAATCATAGCATTGGTGACTCACTCTTAAGTCTGCTGCTTAGTGCTATAAAAAACAAATGAGGACAAGTGGGATAGACAGTTGCAGCAGTGGGGTGCATACAAATGAGATGACATTTAAGCATGTGTCTATCTCCAATGATATTTTTCATAGCGGGGCCTTTCCCTTAAGGATGCAGTGTGTCCATCCACTTCGTGGACCATACAGCCTGCCTGTTATGGGCTGGTAGTGGTTTGCTGTCTGTCTACTTGAAGTTGCACTGGTATAGAGTAGAGCCGGGCCAGGTGGGGGTCTGGGAGTGTTGTGCCGATGGGCCCAGATCTTTCAGGTGTGGTAAAGACGGCATCTCAGTAACTCGGTAACTGGCAACAGTTCTTCCAGTTTCTCAGAACAAAGTCTTGGTGTCATTCTTGACCTCTCCATTTGCCCACACTTTGTACCTAGTCAGTCAACATGCTCTGTCTGCTGTGTCTTCCGCTCCTATCCAAGGCGGAGATCTCCAGCATCTCTGTCCAAACCTCCCTCAATCTGAGCCGTTGTTATGTCTTGCCTAAATGATCTGAACAGCCTTGCAGCTGCTCTCCACTCTTCTTCCTGTGCCTTCCTGTGATCTCCTCTCAGCTTAGCAATCAAAGCCATCATTTAAGAAGTGCCTGATGGTGTTGTTTCTCTAACTAGCTACCCTGGCCCCCGAGAAAAAAGCATCCACTCAGCCTCCAAGGAGGGGTTAGTTGGTGGCCTTGTAGTGGCCTGCAGGGCTCTCCTCTCTTTGCTGTCCCTCTTCTTTGTATCCTCCCATCCGCCTTGCATGTATCCTCTCCTAGCTGCCTTGGCTGCCCAGCTGCAGGAAGAACGTGATCCTTTCTCAAAGCATTTTTCCTGTTGTCCCCGGGACATCTGCAGGCCCTACTCCCTAAGGCTCAAGTCTTACCTCATCAGAGGAGTTTCCCCCAACTGCTCTGTGTGAATGACCGTTTCTCGGCCACTTGTAGACTTTCGCCATGTAAGCAGGGTGGGCTCCGTTGTGTGGCAGTAGCAAACAGCCCCAAGGTGACAGCTGCCTAGCCTAAGGATCAAGGTCTGCCTGTCACCAGAACTACGTCTCAGTATATGCTTGCCTTGTTTTGTTTATTTTCTTTTCTCTCTTGTCTTGACTGTAAACACCACCAGGTTCAGGACTCTGTCGTTCATTTACTGTCATCCCCTGGGGCCTAGCCAAATGCACAGTGTGTAATGGGTGCGTGGTAGTATGGCAGTGATTGAGAGAACCACAGCAAATCATTTGTTCTCTGGTGATGTGAACCAGGTAAGAAGCATAGAGCAGGGGTTTTGAGAAGACAGGAGCAGCTGGCATGAGACAGGCTGGCAGCAGACTTCCTGTGGAGAAGCAGTGAAGAGTGTCCCTGTGTGACTCGAGACTGTGAATCCGGAGTGAAACCTTGCAGGTTGGCTCTGATTTTCCCTTCTCACACTGAGGAGTGGCAAATAAGAGGCAGGAACGATGGGGCTGTCTCACAAGGGCAAGTGGAAGTCCAGAGTGAAGAAGGAGCATAGTCCCGCTGTCCCTCCAAGTCACACCTATGTGATGCACTCCTCAGTCCTGTCAGAGTGGCACAGGAGCTTGCCTGCAGGGGGCTGCCATGCTGCAGCGCATACAAGCTGTTTGCCCTTCATTCATTCTTTCCTTCTTGTGACACTCTTGAAGTACCCACTTTACAGGTGAGGAAACTGAGGTTCTCAATGCTCATGACAGAATTTAGATCAGTCGCACTCATTCATGGCACCCACTATACTTTTGAGGCACCATGCAGTGGGAAGCTCTGTTAGATCTTTAGATTCCTTGGGGCTTGATGAAGTGTGTATCCACCGCGTAGTGCTGCAGCTTAGATGTTTGCAGGGCCTTACCAGAGAGGAAATGGTGGGCTATTTTTATATGCTCAAACAAGCCCAGTAACCACAGTATCAACTGTAGCTGGTGAATCCACCCCCAGGGAATTTCTTATGAATAAGATTAAACTGAGCCTGACGGAATCTGAAAGCGCCCTGTCTCTCATGCTTGTCTGTGGTATTGCCTGTTGGTGTGAGGCTTCATGGCAGAGTTGCAAAGGGGAAGGCACAGGCCTCCCTTCAGGGCACTGTTGTTGGGAAGGCAGAGCTATGTGGAACGCTGGTGGCTGAAGGAGCGTAGAAGCCAGGGTGTGAAGTGGGGAAGAGCCCTGAGGCCCAGAGCGGTTCACTCAGGCCGGTGCAGGGAGGTGGACTTGCAGCTCTGACTCGAGGGTGCATAAAACTGAGAAAGGAAGTATCTGCTGGGTCGCGATGGATGGTGTTTGGGATTTTCCCAGAACCACTGAAATAGAAGCCACTGTATTCAGGAGGCAGAGAGAGGAACAGTTCATTTGCAGTAAAGGGCCAGTGGGATGGAACTGCAGCAGAGGGGGCAGATGGGAATGTGGTCTGGGGAGCACGCAGGAGGGTGAGGTCCTGTCCGCCAGGGTCATAAAGGCAATGAGGTGGCGAGATGTTGGCAGAAAGAAGACCCCTGCTCAGGCATGCTGTCCCAGCTTGACAGGGAGATATGCTGCCGCCACCACGGCCACAAGCTGAAACCCAGCAGTATTACTTTAATTATCAGGGAAAAAATGGAGATCAGTCACAACTTTTAAAATTTTTTTGTTGAAAATATCTTTTTGACTTTAAAAATCTCATATGTAGTTGTAAATGTATTGGGAAATGAAAAAACAGACTTTTTAAAGCGCACTAATTTCTTAAAAATATCGGTGATAGGGGGCCAGGGAGATAGCTCAGTAGAATAAGTGCTTCCCTGGCAAGCGAAAGGGTCTGAGTTCAATCCCTGGTTACACACACACACACACACACACACACACACACACACACACACAAATAGATAGATAGCTATAGATATGATATAGATCTATAGATAGATAGGTCTGTCTATCTAGCTATCTATCTATGAGACATTAAGAGTCAGAGCATTTTATTTCTTTGTAAAAAATGGTTCAAGAATACTTGGAACAGTGTTCGCTTTCTTGTGTAGCTCCTAACCTGGGGTAACCCTTTTCATACCCCGTGATTGTCTTCTGCTCTTCTGAGTTTGGCTATTTGCAGAATTTCATTCTCTTTGTTATAAGGGTCATGAAATAGCTGTGAGAGTTCTGAGTGGGAAGATTTCCGCCTGCCACCCTTCCGCCCGCCACCCTTCTTCCTGGATTTCCCAGTCCTTTTCATCACAGTCACTGCATTAGTTTCCTATCATAGCTGCCAAAGATCATCAAGATTTGATGGCTGCTTTGGGGATGTGGCACAGGTCACAGAGGCTCTTGTGGAAAACTGACTTGGATTGCTTTCTTTTGGTACCAGGGGTTGAACTCAGGACCCTGTGCTTGCCAGGCAGGCACTTATGCCACTGAGCTATCTCCCTGGCTCACCTTGGATTGCTTTAGCATTCAGGATGGAAAATCTCAGGGGGCCACTGCAGTCCACAGAATTAACACTTTCACCTCTTAAAATTTGTTTGTTTGTTTTAAACAAATGTGTTTCTCTCCTGCATGGTCTGGAGCAGACTGGTTGATCAGTAGAACACACTCCACTTCTTCACTTCACACTTGAGTAACCTTTCTGGAGGGCGACCTGCTGAGCTTCCTGCTGTTCGCTTGGCATGGCCTCCCAGAAACTGGTGGACAGTGCAGCCCCTGCTGTGAGTTCACATGCTTCCAGTGTTTTCCTAGGGCTCCCCTCTGCAGGGAGATGTCTACTGGGAACTAGCACAGAGTTTCTGTACTTTACCTGCATTTTGATTTAAAAAAGGGAATTCTCTTGCTTTTCACCAATGTGGGTTTTTTTTGTTTGTTTGTTTTTGTTTTCAAAGTTAGCCACAGTCATCCTGAGCATGGTTTCCTTTCCCTCCAGACAAGGCGCCTCTGTCCAAGAGTCTCCTGCTGGTCCCCAGTGCCCTGTCCCTTCTGCTGGCCCTCCTGCTGCCACACTGTCAGAAGTTCTTCGTGTATGACCTCCATGCCGTCAAGAACGACTTGCAGGTGAGTGTGGCTGCCCTGGCGTCTGGGATTTGCCTTTTTCCCTGCTATGTCCTAGTTCCCCAAAGTCTCTAAATGTGTTAAGAAGTATGATATATTGATATTTCCTTGACAGGAACATTTTCTAGTTGTATTTATTGTTGTCGCCAATTTATGACTATTTTTATGGTGGTAGTTAAACCAAATAGGAAATTGCTCTTGACTTTTTGCTATTGGAAAGAACAGAACTCAGTAGCTTCCAAGACTGATGGACTGCAGGCTTTTAGTGGGGCTAAGAACCTGATGGACTGAACTCAACAAAAGTGGAGCTGTTAGGGTCTCGTCTATGAGTTGAAGTTAATAAAAATTATACTGTGTGGCCTAGCACCCTTTTCTTTACTAAATACTCTAATTATCCCTTCCTAGTATAGCCTGCAGTTCTTGAACACTGACACCTTTTCTTCATAGAGATGTAATTAGTGCCGTTGTTCAGATTGATGTCACCAAGACCCCATGAAGGTCTTTCTGCTATTATCTGTATTTTCACTCTCAGAATAGACCATAGCTTCCAGATTGTGTTAGTTTTTGTAATACAGTGGTTCTCAATCCTGGCTGAACAGTGCAATCCCTTAGAGAAACATTAACAGATACATACACATACATACGTATGTTTAAAACCCAGAATGATGTCACCCTAGTCCAACCGAGTCAGAGGCTGGCAGTGAGGCTTGGGTACTGATGTTCATGTTAAGATGATCCTCAGAGGACTCCACTGTGAGGCCACTGGGAGCCCCGAGGAGCTCTGAGATGAGGGAACGTGAGGGCCCTCAGGCCCTGGGTAGAGGCCTTCCTGATTCCTAGGTTAATTTGGCTCATCTGCCTGAGTACTACTCTATCGGCATCCGTGCTTTACAGGTGTCAGTCAGTGTCCGCATAAGAACTTCTTTAGACACACAGAGTGAGGACACAATATTGCAAGATATGAGTGTGCACTAGATCTTTGGGTGATGGTAAATGAGGTCAGAGTGTGTCACAGGCCTGAGAGCTTGGAGATGAGCGGAGGACTGAATCAGCAGTGAGGAGAGAAGGGCGCTGTGCTTCTAGAGGTCCCGTGAGCGCCACACCTCAGGAGTACTGGAGGGGTAAGGCTGGCGCTAATAGGGCTTGGATCAGATGAGGTGATAATGCCTTTATTTTGAGGTTCTGATTCTCCCAAATTTTGGCTCTTAAGGCAGAGGTACTGTCTTCAGTTTTCTTTAGGTCTTTGTTGAGTCTGAGCCAGTTATCTTCATGATTGTATGTAAAGGTTTATTAATACTCCAGGTCTCAGGTGTTCATATTCATAAGCATGGTTCTAAAACAGCAGTTACTGAAAACTGTTGTTTTTTATTTATTGCTAATTGAAAAAAACACCCATCATGGTATTCCTGCCTAATCATGGGGCCTTGCCCATTGAATCCAGCGGAGGCCTCAGTGTGGGCCTGCAGGAGCTGGTCCAGTTCAGCAAGGTGGGCAGGGGGGATGAACACTTGTGCCATCCTCCAGCCAGCGCAGTGCTCTGAGTACACTGAAGGCAAACCCTGCACCCTCACTTGGAGCAGAGACAGATCGGAGCTCGTTCCACACTGAGTGTGGTCAGTGTTTTCTTCTGTGTTATTATTTCATGTGGCAAGAGAAGAGGCTATGTCACTTTAGGAAGTGAAATACTTTCTCTGTGCCTCCCTTTCTTGATCTTAAGATAGCAGTAGTATCACTAGCATTCATATGAGCATTATCCACAGTAGACAAGAGGTGGCAGTAAGCTGGCGTCCACCGGCAGGGCAATGAATAAAGAAAGCGTGGTAAGTACAGACCATGGCATGTATGCAGCAGAGAAAGAGAGATTCTGGTATATGAACCTTAAAGTGAAATAAAGGAGCCAGACACAAAAGGACAAATACTGTATTATTCCACATACACGAAGTACCTAGAATAGGTAAATTCAGAGACATGAAGAGCGGAGGTCACCAGAGGCTGTAGGAGGTGTTGGTGAGAAGTGGGTGCATAATTTCTACCTAGGATGTTGAAAGCATCCTGGAGATGTATAACGGTGATGGTCATACAAATTGTGGCGTGCTCAGCCTGGCCTCTGGGCAGGACTGCTACAACCTGTGGTGCCAGGGATCAAACCGTGGTCACGTGTGCCTGCCTAAGCTTGCCTAAGCAGGCGCTTTAGCCCACTGAGCTATCTTGCCGGCCCTGTAAATGCTCTTAATGCCACTAACTTGGGCACTGAGAAACAATCAAAATAATAAATTATATCTTCTATTTTACCATGATAAAAATCCAAAGCAGATGTAGGGCTGACTTGTTTTGCGTACCTTATAAGGTAATTGAGAAGGGGAAATAAAACCAGAATGTTTTGCAAGGCCCCTGGGACTACCTAGAAAAATTGGGAAATTATTTAAGTCTGAAAATAGGCCTTCAAATAGCTCTTCATTTGTATGTTACGAATATGTGCTTTTCACCTAAATGGAAGTTTATTTTTCAAAAACTGGTATTCCTAAATTCAGTAATACATAATAGCAGCTCTCATAAATTACCCTGTAGTTAGGTGCTATGAAGTAGTTTGGTTATTAAAATTAAGCTCAGAAATACATGTTTGTGAGTTTATATCTAAGTTGTTTCCCAGTTACAGCTTTGTTTTATTTAGTGATATAAAGGTGAACATTTGTTAGCTTCTCGTTTCAGCTGATGTGTGTAATATTTTATCTTATAGTTCAAAAAGTTTTAACAGTTTTTTCTTCTAAGGGCTGGCCAAATAACTCAGTGGATTAAAGTGCCTGTACGCAGGTGCAGGGGCTGGGGTTCGATCCCTAGGCCTGCCATGCCAGTGAATGAGACTGGGCTGGTGGTGCGCTCCTGTAATCCCAGCACTTGGGAGGCTATAAACAGGAGGATCACTACGAGTCTGATCTAGTAGTGAGACCCTGAATACCCTGTATTCCCTTCCCTAAAATAAGAAGCAAAGACTACCCTTTGTTCTGTTGTCAGGAGGAATTTTTAGTATGTAAGAATTAAACTTATTAACCAGACACACATGTGTAAATATCGTATAGTCTCCCTAGTATAAGAACTCTAAAGAAGAAATACAAATAGAAAGATATAATACAAGGAAAGG